CTCCCATGAGTTTCCACCAAAGAAAATCTTATATAAAATATTTTTAGTGTAAAAAAATGTTTTTAAATAAATTAATTTCAACTTAAGGAGAAACAATTTTTTATTTTTATTTGTATTTTTTTCTCTTAAAAATTATATGAAAAAGTTTTTCTATTTACCGGTAATAAATAATTAAAATTTGAAATTTGACTCAAAGTTTAAGTGAAATTTCAATTAAACCTTTTAACTTAAGTCATATACTTTATAGTAATAATTATTAATCACATCTAAAAATGTATGCATGACCTAGAAGTAAGGATTGACTTATAAAACAAATTAAAAATACTCAAATTTTTAAATTAAATTTTAAACTTTTCTTTCTTATTTTATTTTTTATATATCAATCATATCAGTTTTAACATAAAGTATTTTTAGTTTAAGAAAAAAAATCAACAAAAATCTTATATCGTCTCAATTTCTTACATATGACTTATATATTTATTAATCACTTTACCTAATATTATTTGATTTTAAATTAAAATCTAATATAATAAAAATATTTTTAATCTTATTTAACAAACATCTTATTTATTAAAAAATTAACGTAATTTATTTCAATTATTTAAGTAATTAAAAACAATAATTTATTTAAATTGTTTGATGACATAAACAAAAATCTTTCTTATTTATTGTATATAAATCATATAAATATCTTAAAAAATATAAAAAAAATTACTTTATTTATATATATACATATATGACTTATTTTTTCACATCTTTTGGAATTTTAAACAAATAAAATATAATATTTTTCTTTTATATTAGTTATTATATTTTTATTTTCTTTTTCTCCTCTGTTTATACAACCATGTAGGATGAAAAAATAAACAATTTTTGTTGCAAGAAAGGGGAAATGGTGGTTTAACATATCTACTATGTCTGGTGGGTGGGGAAGCTAGTGTCACATCAGTGGCGTCATTTGATTGACATTTGGCTTCTGTATATATCATATGTTTGCCACATGTTAGTGTTTTACAGAGTTTGATGAGCAGCAGCGCAGCCATGTAACAGTAGCAGCTTCAAGCTAGCTAACTAGGGGTGCACTGCAGTTAACAAATCTGCTATCACACTCTCACTTCCACATCAATGATTTGCTATGGCAAGATTCCCTCTTTCATCCTGTTTTTGTTTTATCACTTATGAAGAGAAGACCTTCTATTTTCTCAAGTTTTAACTAAACAACACACCCTTATCAAATATCACGCTACTTTGGTATCTTTTATATTCACTAAAGATATTTTTATTGATTATTAGAGATTAATTTCTCTTTAATTATAGTTATGTCATCTATTCAACCCAAAGTTCCCATTAGGACTTAGGATTTTTAGGTCTGAGAAGTTACAGCAACACGCCATGGCTCACTTATTCTTCTACGATTATTCGATTGTTTATTTCTAATAGTGAAACTTTAACTAACTACACAACGAATAACAGAGTCAACGAAATGTTGCCCAATAAAATAATTTAGAAAGAGAACTTCGTTACATAATGATGAATTTTGTTTCAGAGTAGTGCTTGTTATTGACCATCAATCAAACATAACACGAAGATGCAGTAAAAAAAAAGTGCGCTAGAAAGAAGGATGATGTAATGATAAGAAGACAAAAAATTAAGCAAAAGCTTTAAAGATTTGGCCAAACATGGTTTAGCGGAAAATAGAAGTAAACTGTAATGTGTAATTGTAAATAAACCATTGAAGTGTGACGAAAAGGAGGTCTATGTTGCTGCTTTAGGGCATGTGGCTTGATTTTTTGACATGCAAGTTTGAAAAATCAGTCATTTATTGACAATTTCGTGCCTTAGTAGTATAAATAGTACAGCTGAAGCCAACTTTCATTTGTAGTGCTTAATATTTGAAAATAGTCTACATTTGTAAAGAAACAAAAAGCAAAGTTGATTGGTTTAATTAATGATGTAGCATGATGAAATAAAAGTTCCCAATAGGAAGAAATGAGCACATACCTTCTTTTACATCTATGGACCTTTTATGTCTTGTTGATACAAAAGAGAATGAATGGAAAGAAAACAAAAAATAAGAAAAAAAATAAGGTAAAAAGTTTAAAATATTTTATTTGGAATAAATATAAAAAATACGAGAAAAGGGTGAAAATATTTTTAGAAAATATATAGCAAGTTTTATTATTTTTATTTTATTTTTTCTTCTCTGATTCTATCTTACCAAACACATGATGAATAATGAGTAAAACTTTAGATGGGAATCTTCTGTGTTTTACATGGGAAGAGGTGTATATTCAAAGACATTGTTGCACAAGTCAATATGAATCAAAAGTCAAGAAATATAGATATGGGACTAAAACCTTTCTATTTTCAAATGAGATAAAGTCATAAGGCCATAAAATATTCCAGAGTAAAAAGTATTCTGAAATAATGAATAATAAAAAAAAGTACACAGAAAATGAAATATAAAAGATTACCGAATTCAAATCAATACACTGGTGCATAAATCAATTAACATGTGGTTCTGCTTAGTGAAACTAACTTAAAGTTTATAAGATGCCCGTTCTTAGGTAAAAGTTTAGTTTGATAAAACCGTGTTTGTGGCGCCAGTTTATTTTTCTCTAGAAATTAAGTATTCCTGCAACAGATATAGGGGTTGCATTTGGTTAAAAAATAACTAAGATTGGGTCATATTCAACATAATTGAAGGAGAGAACCAGGTAGGTTCTGACGAAGCTGATTTACTTGTGATAAAGTGATCGAGGATTTGGAATATTGCAGAACTTCCTCGTGGAAAACTTGTTGGTAATGAAAAATGAAAATGAAGGGTTCAATAGTCGTAGAACTTGACTTTCTTCATGACAGGATAGGGATTGGTGCATTGAACAGTAACTAGTATGCTATTTTTACTACGTGACGGCTTTGAATATAGATGTGCATGTAGGTCCAAGTTCGCATCACCATAGTGCATGCACCTTCATTCAACCCAGGTCAATATACAAGTGTGGCTACCTTTACTCAGTGTCGTGCATTTCTAACCCCTTTTTAAAGATGAATTGTGTTTTTAGTCTATGATTTTTTTTTTCTTACTTTGCTTTTAATATATATTTTTAATAAAATTTATACAAACTATCAAGAAATTATTATTATTATTATTATTAATGAAAATTATTACAGGGGTTTCTAATAACCCACGTAACGGCAATATTGATGCATGTTATTATATGTTTATTAGGTGAGTCAAAACAATCCTATTAAATCTCAGTTTATGTTTGTTTTAATGTCTATGAGGTGAACTGAGGAGACACGTTATGCTGTGGAAGACAAGGAAATCAAAAGCCAAACCCAAAGAAAAAATAGCAGAGCATCACACACCAGATGTTTGATAGAGATGAAAACATAAAAATTCTGCTGAGCATGATTTTGTAAAAGCATATTTGTATATACTTTTAACCAAATCACGGGAAGAATGAAATCAATTGAATGTATCTGCGAGTGAAGAAAAATATATTCAAAGAGTAAACTTTATTCTAAAGAAATTGCTTTTCTTTTTTTTTCTTTCAATTTTTTGTGAATGATAAAATCCCTTCATGGATTGCAATGAAGTATATGTGGTATACATTGGAGAAACTATTTGTGTGTAATCTAGGTTTCCCATGATGTTAATAATTACTTTTGACGAAGAATGATTTGTAACATATTATAATTAAAACAAAATACACGTACAATACGTTGGGATATTAAAATCAATACATTTCAAAAATTATAGCACACAACGTGATTATAATGTAACATATAAAATTGATATAAAGAAAAACTTAAAAAAAAAAATCACAAATGAATATTTAAAGTTTATTAGTGCAAGTCATTTTAAACATATATAAAATATAGATTTTAATCTAAAAATTTTATAAAAGTTAAGTGTTGCTGGGTGATTAAATTAGTCATAAGTTAAATGGCTTATTTATTCGGGCCGAGTGCAATTTGGCCCAAAAAGAAATCAGGACTAGAGGAGGACGAAACATGACGCATAGTTGGGATATAGGTAATAAATGAATAAAATAATAATAATAATAGTAGTAATAACAATAATAATAATAATAAATAAAATATTATTATAATATTTTGTTTTTGCATCATTTCTCTTCCAGCAAACCACCTTCATTTATATAATTTTTAAATTTTTGTCTTCTATTTCTTTCCTTTATACCAAATTGAATATATTTGGCATATATTAAGTTTAATTAACATAAGTTTCATATAATAGAATTTATAATTAAATATTTTTATTCTTATAAAGATATCAATTTTTACTTATAGTCTTTGTAAATTTATTTTATGATGTGTGTAGTGTAGAGTTAAAATCTTCCGTTTTATTCTTTATTGAGAAATGTTGGACTTAAGGAATTTCTACAAGATAATGTCACCTTACAAAAATGTTTACGAGAAAATCCTAGGTTGAGTGCCGGACGAATATATTTTTTGTAACCACAGGAAAAAACACCAAAAACAAAATGTTGGAAACTTATAAGATAGTGTTTAGTTTTTTTTTTTTTTAACTTATCTTCGCCTTTTAACTAGAAGGTAAATATATTTTTTGCTAAAAAATTACCTTCTTTATAGTAAAAAACTTCATGAAAAATTAGCTTACACGTAATATTCGCTTTGATTATATTTGAAAAACAATAATCAATTTTAAAATAATTTTAGAAGTGATAAAAATAAATTATTGTTTATAAAATAAAGTAAATAAGAACGTACTTCATAAGATGACAATGACTTAATATTTTTGAAAGTGATAAACTTTAATAAATAGTATAGAAAATAACATTATTGGATAAAATAAAATCCCAACTTTCAGCCTCAAAATTTTCTGGAAGTATTATATATAATATGCTTTTGGAAAATGAACAACATTATTTGGGTAATTTTTGGTATCCAGAATTATTATTGTTTGAAATTGGTTTCGTACCATTGAGGTAGAAAATTATAAACAGGCTTGGTTAATTGACTTCAATAATCCAACCCTTCTTATCTTCAATAGTACCCGTTTGAATTCCTGAAATGGTGCTGTTCAGCTCTTCACAAATGGTTCCAGAACCTGTTATATAGTCCATCCTGCGTATATACAACTTCATGTTCAGGGATATTGGACGCGTCTATATCTCGTCTTCTTAAAAATTACAATAAAACATATTCTAGTAACAAAGTCATGTTTTCTATATATATAATACTGATCATATATATGTTTCTAATAATTATTACTTTATTAATTTAGATACAAAAAAATTAAAAAGTACAATATTCTTAAAGTTATGGAAATTTTTGAAAGTAAATTATTAAAATTAAGATATATCATCTTTATAAATACGGTGTGTCAAAATTAATAATGTAAAATAAATTTCAAATTAAATTAATTGAGCATGCAATAGGTTTAGAGCTTATTTTATCCAAAAGGGAAATATAATTTGACACAATGCACCGAACAAATTAAAATAAAAAATAAACTTAAGAAATAGTATTTGAAATGAATACAAAATATTTAAATATATAATAAGTCATAGATATCTTAAAGAAGATCAAAACAAAATAAAGTGTTTTTCTTAATGATAAAGTCTCATTTTTAAGAGAAAATTATAGTTATCTTTCCAAAACTAAATTGGTTTCACATCTTCTTTAATTCATTTCTTTATGTTATTCATGTCTATGTTTTTAGTAAGTAACATTTATTCTTTTTATATTTTTAATAAATTTACACGTTCTCTTAATCTGAATTTATCAATAGTTGCCGCAATACAAACCTACATTTTCACTACCTGCACTTACCTTTTATCCTGGTATGTGATACTACCAACAGGAGCAACACCCACAGCAGTTCCTGTGCAGAAAACTTCATCAGCCTCAATCAATTCGTCCACGCCTACAACACGCTCTTCTACCTGAACCAAATTGCTCAACAATAAGCTTATTTCAAACAGTAAATGACATACAAAACTCAACTTTGTAAAATTATGATGCGTTTCTAGCTAGTGTTTCGATATATCAGGCCAAAAAACCGTCTTGTCATCAGTTTTCAACTTTCTTTTTATTTTCTCGTCATCAGGTAGGAACCACATATATGTAATTATGTAATACCTGATAGCCATGATCACCAGCAATTTCAATGACACTCTTTCGGGTAATTCCGGAAAGAATAGTTCCATTGGTAGCAGGAGTTGCGATACATTTGCCCTGTTAAATGGAAGCAATTAGTTGGATTGGATAGGCCAGTTGTAAACGTATATGGCTGAAGATTTGTCCTTAAAGTAGTTTTATCAAATCGTCTAAAACATGAACAATTGACAAAGTAACACTTACCCAGCTGCAATTATCTGAAAACTATTTTTTTATCAATCTATGTTTTCTATCCCAGGTTGCCTGTTTGATTATATGATCTTCTAAATAAAGTAAAAGGAAACAGCCCTCCTTCTTCATTCCAATCCCTGTTTACTTGCATATTACTTGCCAAAAACTTTTGAGAACAATTTACTTCCTTATATTGTATGTTTTCTCTCAATGGAAAATTGAACTCTCGATTCACTGCATTACCGGGACTAATTTCTTTTGATTGACTCAATCATTAACTGTTAACTAGCATCAATCTACATGGCAAGGCAACTTAACATGATAACTTCTGGTTGCCATGACCTGCCTGGTCTATCTTTGAAATAATTAAAGGGAAAGAAAAAATGAATAATTCGAAGAATACCTTGGCAATAAAAATGTTACAAGAAGAGACCTCCTCCAGATTTTTCTTCGTGGCTGAATCAAGGTACAGCACATCTGAAAATCCTCTTTGCTTGGCTTTAGTTTGTGCCATCAAAACCTACACGCACGACAATAAGTAAAATTGAGCACTCTATTTTGAATAAGATCTGAACCCTATAAAGGTCACGTCTGATCCATTTCGTTTGCGATGTGTTTCCTAATTAAACTAATCCAGGAGTGAAAACGTGAAACGTATACCGGTGCATAATTAGAAATGGTTTTGACGTTTCCAGTGCCGCGGCGAGAAGCACGGTCAAAGTTCTCCTCTACAAGCAAGTTGAGCGGAGCCGAACCCTCCTGTGGTGCGAATAAACCACTCAAAATGTTGAAGTAATAAGTTTAAGTAATTGTTATGAACAACAAACATAAAGAGAAAAAAAAAAAAAGTTTGACGCACCTTGAAATAGTTGCGAACAGGGGAAGCATATATGAGGAATGTGTATTCAGATGCAGGAGCCAAACCCAAAACTGGACCCGTTCCTATGAGCAGAGGCCTAAGGTACAACGACCCTTTTCCGGGCGGAGGAATCTGCATAGAGTTTACAATTATCACTCCAATAAAATCACATTCTCCGCCATTTATTTCTGAAATTGAAACTGGAGAGCAATTAAAAGTTCTAAGATTAATTGCCGTACCCAACGTTTATTGGCCAAGACAGTTTGTTTCAAAGCATGAACAAAATTATCGATGGAAGGGGATGCCATGCACATTCTTTCGGCACCAATCTTCATGCGAATGCCATTTTGTTCCGGACGGAAGAGTAGCACGCGCCCATTTTCTTTTCTGTATGCTTTTGTGCCTTCGAATAATCCCTGTTTTCACGTTTCAACAACAATTCCACCATTGAAACATATTCAAAATATTACTTCACGCTCCTTTTATCTTTCAATTTCTTACTGTATCACATCAGTTTTCATTACCAATTTGTTTTTCTTGTTCTGTCTTTTTCTTTCAAGGGTTTAAATGGCACAAACGGAAATAAAAATAATTTACATAAAATCCAAAATATACAATATTAATTTACATAAGATCCAAAATTACAAATAAAAATCACCAATTTTACATGTTCCTTATGAATTTATTATAAAAAATAATATTTTTATTAATTATTCTAGTTTTGTTTTATGTGTTGAGTAATACATATTTTATATTTTATATTTCATAATTTGTTTAATATAATTTTTTTATCATGTACTAGTTAGCTCATTTTTCTATTTAGAGATAGATTAAATATTCTATCTAAAAAAATTAATATGGATTCTTTATAGATGTTAATAATGAGTTACAGTAAAGTAAACTTGAAAAAAAAAAAACAAGCTAGACCTAAAAAAACTAATCAAATGCCAGACCAAACTTAGGCTTCTGATTTCTAATACAAACAAAATCCATTTAATGAAGGAAAAAGATTGTTTACCAAGCAATGTTTACAAATGATAAAACATATTATAGAAAACATTAAAATATTTTTTTTATTAATAAAAAAATAATATAAAAAACTAAAATTAGATTGTTGAATAAATATTTTTATGCTTTTTAGTGTCAAAATATCGTTACTTTCTAAAGAAGTCAAGTCTTGTTCCGCTAATTATTCTTATCACTACTTTTACTAATTTCTCCAGATAGATCTCAGTAGCTTAGAAACTAGTTTTACTAAAATAAACTTGTTTTCGTCGAGCTTATTTTAGTAATTTTTTACTTAACCCTTTAACTTTCTTAAAGTGTTTTATATTTTATTCATCAGTGATTTATTTGAAATCCTATTTTATTTCAAATAACTAAATATGGTGTTTTAATTCAATAACTTAATAAACTTAAACTTGTTTGGTCTCCATACCTTATCAGTTATAAAGTTAGGCTGAGATTATGAAACACGCGAAGTGTTTAAATATTTGGCACACATAAAAAAGTTAAAACACAAGTTTTCTAAGAAAATGAATAAAATAATAAAAGTCTGTAATGGGACACACCTGCCCATAATTTAGGACCCCAGCTGATGGACTGAGTTCAATGTTCCCGTAGCGACTCAGTTGTCCTTCACCAAAATTTTGGCCCTCACAACATTTACTAATGTACATGTAATCCGTAGGCATCAAACCAAAGCCAAGACTGTCCCAGTCCACGTCAGCATACTCATCCTCACTGTGTTTTTTTTTTTTTGCAAAAAAAAAAAAAAAAGAACAAAGTGTTCCTTAATAACCATTACTTATATACGTAATATTGCTAATAGATGATGTACATACCTGTAAATAGGGTTGGGTTGAGAAGCAAACCAATTTTGAGTTCCGATCTGTTACAACATAAATTTAGACTCTGTTGTTGATGGAGTGATTGGGATTGGTTTAGAATATGAACTAACCATATTTGGTATATAATTAATCAATGAACTGATTTAGATTTTACATAAAAATATAATTAACTGAACCAATTGAAACAAATTTAATTAAGTATTTAAATTATCAATTTGAATGGATGAATTAAATTCGACAAGCACTCCACTTTTGTTGAATAATAAATTAGAAGAAGTGGCGGAAACGTATAATTTGAAAACACTAAACAATAAAGTGAGAAAAGAATAACACTAGAAACATCTTCCCAACAGATGAGGATAAGGGGGTGGAAACTCGTCGTGGTCATGGACATGGCAATAGTGAAGGAGCCAACCAGAATTAACAACAAAACTTTTCATTTAATATTCTTCAATAGATTACGTGTCCCGACACAAATAAAAATGAATAATTGAATTGAACGTACGTCTTTATTTCAGTTTAACGATACATACAGAACTAATATATTTTTAAGTTCTTACATAAAATTTATTAAGAAACACAAATTAACTCAATCGGCAAAAATATTTAGATTTCCTAAAACAAAACAAACTTATTGTCGAATTTAAGTTTTTGGGACAAAATATTTAGAATAATGGGTATATACAAATATATTGTTTTTATTTTTATTTTGAATAAGTATGTTTATAATTTTTTATTTTTCAGAGTAAATAGATAAGGTTCATTCCAAATACAAGACGTGGACAAAATTGAACTGAGAGTTCAAAACGACAATGAGTTTCTCGTTGCACTTGAAGATTACACAGTAGTTATCTGTCTTCATCACTGTATCCTCGGGATTTGTCCAATTGTGTCTAGGATCCCATACGTCCCTTTTTGACATTATTTTTATGCTAAAAAACAATTACTACCAGTAATAATATGCATTGCTACCAGCATGTAACGAGGTTTGTGTCCTGTTTACGACCAAATAATGACGTATAAAAACTTAGAATCATGTAAATACTCAGATGCACTGTACTAGATTTAAGTTCGATGCTGTAACAACCATAAGGTTAAGAGGGGAACCATCCTCAAAAGTTAGTTCAAGAGATTGGAGAACCTCCTATTTTATAAGGCCTTTATGGTAAGGAGACCGACTTTCTTATCGGTCAGAACCCTCCGGCAGTAGCCCTTCTCGAGTTGGTTGGCTCTCAACGAAAACACCAATGTAAGAGGGGAACCATCCCTCAAAAGCTAGTTCAAGAGATTGGAGAACCTCCTACCTTATAAGGTCTCCCTGGTAAGGAGACCGGCTTTCTTACCGATCAGAACCCTCCAGTGGTCAGGACCCTCCGGCGGTAGCCCTTCTCGAGTTGGCTGACTCTCAACGAAAGCACCAATGTAACAACCATAAGGCTAAGAGGGGAACCATCCCTCAAAAGCTAGCTCAAGAGGTTGGAGAACCTCCTACCTTATAAGGCCTCCCTGGTAAGGAGACCTCCCCAATGTGGGACTTGTTACAATACCACCCGTCAGAACCCTCCGTGGGTAGCCCTTTTCGAGTTGGTTGGCTCTCAATGAAAGCGACGCTGGCTGCACTCCACGACACTTCACTCACTAGCACTTTACTCGGCTTTCTTACCGGTCATAACCCTCCAGTGGTCAGAACCCTCCGTGGGTAGTCCTTCTCGAGTTGGCTGACTATCAATGAAAGCACCAATATAACAACCATAAGGCTAAGAGGGAAATCATCCCTCAAAAGCTAGCTCAAGAGTTTGGAGAACCTCCTACCTTATAAGACATCCCTGGTAAGGAGACCTCCCAGCACTTGTTACATATGCATAAAAACAAGTTGGATTATTTAAATTTATTATTAATTTAAGTTATAATTCTGACCATTTTCATCACATGTACTTTATGTTATCTTCAAAACATTTAATGAGTTGCTTATTTAATGTACGTTAATATGTTCTTAAAAGAGATCCCTCTCCATCATGATAATTAACTATAGCTTTCAAATCTTATTATTGTACTATTCTTATAGTTTTCTCAATTAATACTATTCATCTTTTAAAATTTGTATTTTCAGTATTGCGAAAATAGGGATGCAAATATATCGGATTAGACCAATTTTGGTCAAATTTATCACCTAACAAAATTAAAAAAATCTTAGTTTAATTAAGTCAAATTTTTATATTTTTTTATTAGATCTAATCCAATTCAACAATCATCCTTAATTGAGTTGAGTTAATTTGGTATAAATTTTAAAAATTTGAAATATTAATAATTAAATAAATTAAACAATAAATATATTATTATTATTAAAATTATTTAATATTAATTTTAATATAATAAATTAGATTGAATCTCAAATTCTAACATACAAAGTTCAGTAACTAATTTATAAGAGATTGAATTATATTTATTTGGATCGGACTTTACGCAAACATTTTGGTTTCTTCCATTAATATCCTTTTAAAAATCGTTCTTATTTCAATACAAATGCAAACTATAAAAAAAAACGTTAAAATCAAAATAAACTTTATATGAACCAGAGTTTGTATATATGCATATATATAATATACACACATACCTGTATATATGTAAATCAGAGATCAATACAGAAATTAAAAGTGTAAAGATTTGAAATATTATTCTACAATCCCATGTGTTATTAAAATATTATATCAACATGCATACATTAAACGGGTAAAGATTTAAAATATTATTCTACAATCACATTGTGCCAACATAATAATTATCCTAAGAGTTATATCAACATACACAGTGTAGAATTTATAATATTATATTACAACTACATAAGCTATTTTTTCTCTTTTCATAGCAGGATCTTAGAAGATTATATGTGAAACATGTATGCATAAGAAAATGAAATTATAGTATGGAGGAAAAAGAAAGCGTAGGGAAGTAAGATACTGATAACCTTGGACGACGCAGAAGCAGAACCAGTCCGAAGAAGCAATCTCGTTAAACTGGGAAAGGACACAGGCCTTCGAATCATTGTGCTCGATCCAATGGTGAGGGGAAGAATCGAAAACTAGCGGTGGTGTGTGTGTCGGAAACACTGTGAATCAAGAAACTTCAAATAATGGAGAGAGAGAGAGAGAGAGAGAGAGAGAGAGAGAGAGAGAGAGAGAGAGAGAGAAAGATGTTAATTACAAGAAAATTGGAGAGAAAAAAGATAAGAAGGATAACAGGTATGGCCAGCTCTGCAATCTGAATATTCATATTTATACATCATTGCATGTGGAGAACATTTTTTTCAATTTTATATTTAAGTTTGGGACCAGTTAATTACTTTTCCTAAAACATTCTTAACTATGAGTAATTATAATCACTTATTTCCTTATTTATATCGATACACTGGTTAAAATAATTGAAGATAAGGATCTATGGAAATGCTTACCATCTAATCCACATGTAAAAGGTAAAAGGTTAAAGGACGAACACTAAAATGCCAGCACTGATAGAGGTGGATGTACATATCCCAGATCCATTATCCATCACCATATCCACACGTGGATCCATATCCACACGTGGATCCATATCCACACGTGGATCCATATCCTCAGTGGAAATTAATTATTCATAAATATCTCCCACAGCGAAAAAATATCATGCCAGTCATAATCGGTTTTGCTAACGTCTGTGCTCAATATTAATTATTTTTTCTTTTAATAATTTATCTATTTATTTTTTTAAAATATTTTTTTATAATTCAATTACGTCATTTTTTCTCTTTTTATTATTTCTCTTTATAATTCATTTCTTCAAAATTAAAACAAAGATAACTTAAATAAAATAACATAATTCTCATAATTTAACATTTTTATCAAACTATAAAATTTAAACTTTCACAATGTTCAATTGTTATTTTTTCTTTTAATATTTATGAAAATTGTCTAGAACATGTAATACTGTGACCTTTTTTCCTTATAAAAGTTATAAGTTTTAACATGATAGGCTGAAAATAAGAAAATAAAGTCATTATTTTACAATATAGTAAAAATAATAAATAACTATTAATACTCTCTAACTTATAACTTTAAAAAATAATTAATATTATTTAATGATAAACCTTAATTTAATTTTATGTCTGATTTAAAAAAAAACATTTATCTAATGGGTCTGTCCAAAAGCTTAAAAAATATAATTTATTTAATAATAAATGAAACTTTACTTTAACTTCCTTGCCTCGTTATAATTAATTAAATAATAAAAAATAATAAATTTGTTATATATATGACAACAAAACATGTATATAATAATTATTTATCATTATATAATTTATTTACTCATAAAATTTACCATTTTTTATATTGTTTCGTGAATAATTTCTTTACGCGTGTGAAACTCGTTACTTTATCGTATTAAAAATCATTTTTTAACGGGGATTGTTGTCGTACGGATAGACTTATGAGGAAAGAAGGAAGATCACATCATGATTTAAACGTATTTTGAATTATGTTTTACAAAATCAAACACAATCAGTCACATTAATAAAAAGTGGAGGAGGTTGAAATGGAAAACACGTGTCGGCTCTAAAATTGAAAATTTTGAATTTACATCCGTGAACCCCATGCCAATCTTAAACTTCCTTAATATTTAATAATATCCAAGCTTTTTCTAACTTTTAAATATAATTATTTTATATATCTGCTAAAAATGAATTTTTTATTTTATTCAAAAGTAATCATTAACTAAAACTTAAATAAATAAATAATTTAGTTATGGAGAAATTATACTCATATCCTGTCATATGGGCCTGCAAGTTGGCATGTAAACCTTTGGACTTTATGAGCCCAACTCTGAGATGGTAAACCCAATATTATCAGGCCTAGTAAAGCCTATCCAATTTAAATAAATCAGTCCTATAAATTCATTATATATTATTCAAAAAATATTACTAATATATCCATTTTAATCTCATTAATTTATTGTGAGTGTCACGAAAATATTAAATTATGGACATTTATACACTATTATCAATGTATATTATTTTTTAAGATTTTTTTTCCAACGTCATTCATAAAATTTAAACTAAAATGAGTTTTTAATCCATGTTAATCATGAAAAATGGCATAAGATTTTAGTGTTGAAAATTTATAATATAGAATTTTTATATGAAATAAATTATCTCTCTTTATCAAAGAAACATGAGGATTAACATATACTAGAGAGTCTTTATTGATGAACAAAATGTTAAATTCATTCGTACGATACTGTTTTATTGTAAGAATAAAAAATGGTAATAGGGTCAAACAGTGACCTCATAGTTTATTAGTAAAGCCGTACATGAATGCTCTACTATACCTAATTCAAATCATAGTAATTCATACTTTTACAAATAACATTTTATTATGGTTAGATCTTTATATGCAGAGTTTGAATTCTTGCAAAAAAAAATTTTAATTTATAAAATAATAAAATATTTTAAATTGAATATGCTAACCTATAAAAGTTATTTAAGATCGTAAATCAGATCTGTTATTAAGTAAAAATTGAAAAAATAAATTATATTATATATGATGTAAACAGACTCATGTAAGATCTCAAATAAAAAGTTTGGTTTTCTTAAACATGGTTACACCTTGCTTTGGGTACACATATTATAGGCCCAAAATGTGCACAGTTTCCTAATATTCAAGCTTACGTGTTGTTTTAACTTATTTAATAAATTTAATAATTTGAAATAATTAATTAATTTTAATGTTAAGTCACTTTACTTTAAGCTATATATTATTTTAGTCTTCTAATTTTCTTAGCCGGTTAAAACTCATTTTTAAAAAATAAATAAACTTGAACTTCTAATTATTTTCTATTCATTTAAAACTTTCAACTTTTCGTTTTCTAAGATTCGAAAAATTTGTAATTCAAAAATTGTCTTCTTCTACTTAAGAGCAACTATACAAAAACATCGAATTCCATAAACAAAATTCAAAATCAAAATTTCAAACGAATTTTATATTCTAGTAAGTTTTTCATAGCTAAACTTACAAAATTTAAAGGAAAAAAAAAAACATAAACCATCGAATAATGGGATAAAAAAAACTACTAGTTTCTGAATAAAATAAAATTCATGTGAAAAATAAATTTAGTTTTCCCCGTACCGGGTCAGTGAAGGTTGAAAATGACGTGTACGGTTGAACCAGGGAGATTGATAAATTAAATTGAAAGTAACTTGTTTTAAAAAGAATAAATATCCACTCATTTAAAAAAAAATTGTTACGTTAAGTTAATCTTTAGATAAGATAATAATATATTTAAGAATGAGTAATAATAGAAGATTTATTTAAAAATAAATATTTTATATAAGATTTAAAAGATAATAATAATAATAAATATAATAATTGATTATTTAAAAACTGTATAAAATAATAATAAATAAAAGATAATTAATAAAATAATATATGATAAAATAAATAAATATATATTAATTTTAATAGTAGGTATAATTTTAAATATAAAAACTTAATTGACAGTAACAAATGACGCGCTATATTTTTTCTTATTTCAACTAATTACGATGTTGGTTCAGTCTCTTTTTCAGATAATTCGTTGTATTCATCCAATCATGTAATAAAGAGACGAACTATCTCATGCAAACTTTCAGATGATTTGAAAGTTTTGTATTTACATATATATTATATTTATATATACTTATAATTTTCAATAAGGGAATATTTATTTAAATTATGCCAAAAAATTGATAAACGTTATGTTTTTATAAGATGATGCAAACATTTAAGCCCATTTTCATTAAATACTATAACATATCTTATATAATTTAGTCTGTGTTTGTTTTCAACTGCCAAAGCATGAACAGTAAAAAAAAGAGATTATTTCACGTATTTTAATGTAAAAATTTATAAGTGTAAGACAAAATTTGATCTGTAGAATAAAGAAAATCGAATAGAATTTAGAAATTTAGAAAATCGTGACGTCCAATACTGAAACTTGAAGAAGGTAGGATACTCGGAGGACAGGATTCAACGTTAACCTATAACTTATAATAATAAATAATAAAAACATTTAATAATGATAAATAAATCTATTTAATTTTTCATTCATTTTTCTTTTGTTTTATCTTGATCAAATAATCTTATTTTGTTGTCTCTTTGTCACTGGTTTTTTTTTTTTTTCATTCTTTAAATTTTTGGGTCCGAACAGAAGATTATATGAGAGCAAAAGCAACCAAAAAGATTGAGAATTATGGGTTGTATGATATGACAATATATGACATGACAATGACAATCCCTTTTTTAGTGAATAAAAATTGGGGTAATGGATCCAAAGAGAAGGAACCAGATGCTAGGTGATTAAAGACAATAATGCAGAAAGAGTACATAAATGATTACGTAGATTGCAATCAAAACCAAGACTGTATTGTAAGTGCAGACAAAAGTGGTGGCTTTGTTGACATGGACGATTGGTAAGGAAGAAAAGAATAGGAAGGATGTGGAAAGCCCTAACAACAACCACAAACCCCATTTCTCACTGGTCGATGGGCCTTAAAGCCCGGGACGTATCTCTAACCTTATCCTTTCAAACAAAAAACATAAAAAAAATTATAAAACATATAATATTCTTGAATCACATTATAAACCGTCATCAATGCATCATCATAACTCCCCTCTAGAATCAAATACCAATCATGCCATATTATTGGTTGGTCCACCTACTCCATCCTTCGCACCATGCCAACGTGGCACCGTAATTTACTTACATCTGTGAAACCAAAAACAACCAATGTGTACATGCCACTTACTTCGTTCACCAACTTTGCTAGCAAAGTGCCAAGGAACAAGATGATAGAAAATCAACATTTATTGGAGAACCAGCATCAATATCCTTCATTTTGAAGCCACCCTTGCTTCTTTATTTTCTCTCTAGTCCCATCTTCTTGGTGTCTCATCAAGTACATTTCGAGTGTGAGACTTTTTTTGGTCCAATCCCATCTATTCCCAATCATAATCTGGTTTAATTAATGCTTTTGATTCT